TCAGCAGGGGTCCAATGTTGCTCTTGTTTTTCCTCTGGCTCCCCACATATCTGAAAAAGGACTTCTTATTGTCCTTGATGCTCAAAGCTATTTGGAGTTCAGTTGCAGCCTTGGCTTTCCTGGTTTGCTCCCTGCAGGACTGGACCAGTGCAGAATATTCCTCCTTGGAGGTGAATCCCATCCTCCATCCTTTGTAGGCCTTTCTTTTTAGTCTCAGGAGGTCTGCTAGATCCCTGGAGAGCCAGGGGGGCTGCTGTGCCCTCTTGCTGCCTTTCCTCCGAGATGGAATAGAATTAGCTTTGAAGCACTTCATTTTGAACAATTTCCTGAAACCTCCAAGTCCTCTAGCAGTGCTCTGGCAACTTGCAGTGCTCCATTATTCCCTTCTCCCCCCCACAGTGAGGGAGAAGTGGGGAGAGCAGGGCAGATAGCTGGTGGTTACTCTCCTGTGTGCTCTGCTAGTTTTGAATACCTGACTAAAGAGCAGTACCACCATGTACCTTCACAGCCATTTTGAAGTGCTGCCAGGTGCATGTTTCATCTCAAAAACACTACTAAGCAAGAATCTGCAAGCATCTCTGTTTCAGTGACTGAGAGGAACAGAAAAAGGACAACTTCCCAAAAACAGGGACAATACATTATATGCAGACTCCAGCCTACTCTACATTAGTTTAACGAAAGCTGCCTTCTGTTGCCACACGTTTTCATGCAAACACACAAATTAGATGTAAGGTTCTGTCTACATTGCTGTATTGTCTAGGTGCATGAAAACATCACACTTTATAAGAAATGTAATTGTCAGCAAAAGCCCCAGCGTGGACGCAGCTCTGCTAGCAAAAGAGAACTTCGACTGGCCAGAGTTAAGCTATTCAGGGGCATGTTTGCTGAGTGCTGAAGGAAACTGAATTTGAAGAACTTCAAATGCATATCTGTCCATGCCATGAATTAAAACAAAAATGATCAGCAAGAGCAGTACAGAGCTCTAAAACATTAAACAAAGGCCCATTTGCACATGGCTTTTTTCCGAATTTCAGTTTAGTGTATAAATGTAACATTCTATTATCAGTTGCTGAATTGCTGGTAAATCAACAACAATTTTCAAGTTCTGATGGCAGAACCCTTTTTTAATGCACGAGCCAGAAAGATTTGTATTGAGTTTGATCTCAGGTTGTAATAGCTTTATAACTGTCAGCTATTATAAAGTCCACAAATAGCACAGAAACTTAGTGTTAAAATAGAGTGAAATCTCCAAAATCATCTGTCAGCAATCTGGGTCTGTAGATTCTATGTTGAGCCATTTTGTACATCTGAAATTAAAATAGCAATGAAATACTCCAATTAATTCACCTATCCAGTTATTCTATCTGGAAGCAGTATATGTCTGTCTAAGAATAAACCTACAGACAAATGTTTTAAAAACACAATTGTGCTCAGTGATCTTCCTCCTTTTGTTGATGGCCTCGAGGGTGGACATTAAAATATGAGAAGAGGAGAAAGAAATTATGGAGTTAAGTTTTAATATGGCTCGGGCCGAAAACTCAAAAACATATTATCATCTGCTTCTGCGAAAGGGTACACGCAATTCATTGAGCAAACTTTTAAATTTATTTCCATGTAATTTTCTTTCAGAGCTGGCTCAGATTGCACAGCTAGTCTTCTGGCAAAGAGAGTTTGCTTCAGCTCCTTTCAGAAATTGGTGGTGTTTCTTAAGGGATTAACATGGAGTGATGATATAAAGCAGGGCTGTCTAATATCTAAGCAGCTGGGGCTACACTAGTGCAAGTCACAGGCCCTTGGGTTGCAACCACCTCCAGCTGCACCCCATGCATAAGCTGCCACACCCCATACACACCATTGCACTGCATCTTCAGGCATCTGTTACATTGGGTTGGCAGAACCCCCCATGCACATACTTGCACACAGCGTACGTGGGTGGCCCTCTGCACCACGTGTGGGCAGCAGCTCTTCCCACCACTGTGTGTGTGGGTGGCCCCTGCCTCAGCTCTTCCATGGACTTCCCTGGTGCCTTGGGCTGCACTGCTCTGCCCCCCGGGGCAGGAGCCAGAAGTGAAAAGGAGGGAGGAAGGGAAGGGGAGCTTGGAGACCCTAGCTGAAGTAGGAATGTTAGAGGAAGCATGGGTTGGGAGGAATCTGTATAGAAACCACATTATAGGAGAAAATACATTTTGACATTTAATCAGCATGTCACCAACACTTGAACTTAGTTGAATGTGTGTTGTGTTATATGCTCATATACTCATCAGGTTTGGAGAGGAAAAAACAAAAATAATTCAGACAGAGTCCAAAAATAGCACAGCAATTTACAATACAGTAAAAGCTGTGTTAACTGGCATTTTACTAACTGGAATACTTTATTAACCAGAATTTAATAGATCTGCATGGGGCAGTGTGGGCTGCTGCTGTGGGCTGGGGCTGCGCCAGGCTCTTCCTGGCGGGGGTGGCCACGCTGTGGGCAGGTGGCTGCAGCACTGGGACTGGCCTGCCTTGCTGTCTAGTCCGCTCAGTGTGGGGGGACACATGGTGCCGTGCTGCTTTTGAAGCAGAGGCAGGGAACAGAACTCAGCCTGCAGCTGCAGCCTGCCCTTGCCCTGTGCACAGATAAAATAAAGTAGATTGAAAGGAACTTACCTGTCTGCTGAGACCCTGAGCAGCCAGGATCGCAGGCGGATAACTCTCAGATAACCAGAATTTTTAGATAACTGGCACTTCGTTTACCCCACTCATGCCAGATAACAAAGCTTTTACTTTACTTAAAATTATCCATCAGTTAGACAGCCCTGATATAAATTATGCTGTTCTCTAGAGTTCTAGCAACTGTGCTTCTTCAGTAAATACTAAAATCTGTGTTTCTATGGAGCAGGTTCACAAACATACTTGGATTTCTTAAAGGTTTGTGCAGAATATAACAGTAGATTACCAAGATAGGTTATCTTGGTGTTTTAAAAGTTTTTTTTCTGTTGAAAGCCTTCTCACTTGACTACAGATGAATAGTTATATTATAAAAATATTTCAAAATCTTATTGATTGTTGGAAAACTACAGGTTGTAAGGGAGGCTGAGGTAGCTTTCCTGTTCATACAGCTAAATGCATGTAGCATTGGCAAAGCCTTTTAGGTAAAGCATTGCTTTAGTTACTAGAATTAAATAAAAAGGGTATTTAAGAATTATTAAAAAAAAAAAATCAGTTAAGCTTTGCTTTTCCTCTTCCTTTTGCAGCCTCTTATGGAAAGCAAACTTAAAGCATTCAGTATTGGCAAAATGAGTGCTGCCAAGAGGACTTTAAGCAAGAAGGAACAAGAGGAATTAAAAAAGAAGGTAAAGCTGTATAATGAAGCTACTGTAACCAGGGTTTCTAATATTATTTTGTGCTCATCATCTTTAGTCTTCTAAATTGAAGACCATTAAAGCAACTGCATTTATTAAATGAACAGTCATTTGATTATACAAATCTAGCTGTTTGTGCAACTCCTATGGGCATAATCTTTCAACATTTCTCTGAAAAATTGAATCCTTTGGTCTTAAAGGAAAATGTATCTGGCATAATTCGGTCATGGGGCCACCCATAATTCTTGAACTCTAGAAAATAAAAGAAAAAATCCTATGGCTGATTAAGAATAGTTGTGTCTCAGAGTTTGTAATAATAATTAAAAGTAGGGGTGCACTGATAAAGATTTTTTTTGGCTGATGGCCGATTATTAACCAGCTATATTGGCTGATACCTATCTGATTGCCAATATGCAGTCTGGCAGCTTGGAGAGCAGCGTCTGGCTGGTAAGTCTGTTTGGGGGGGGATGGGCGGAGAGGTATGGGGTGCAGATCGAGGCCCCCATAGTGAGGGAGGGAGTGGAGCTGGGACACGGGGCCAGATGCTGCCAGGGTGGGGCATGGGATGGAGCTGCGGGCGGGTTGTCAGGCTGGGGAGGGCAGCTCCTGCTGCTCTGCGCACCCCTGGGGGAGGCATGGGGGGTATGTGCCACTGGATTTATGCATGGGGCAAGGGTGGGCTCTGTGCTGGGGGCTGTGCTAACCTCTTCTCAGTGGGAGAGCTGGGCTGGGGTGGGTGGTGGTGGTGCTGCGAGGAGGCCTGTGGGGGAGCTACAGCCACCCCAAGATTCATCATATCCCCCCTGTAACCCCTTCTCCCAGCGCTGCCACCGCCTGTCCTGAGCGCAGTCCTACCTCAGCCTCCTCTTCCCCCTGCCGCTGGGAAGAGCCCACAGTGGGTAGCCCGTCCTTGCCCTGTGCACAGATCGGGGGCACATGCCCCACATGCCTCCGCCTGGGTACACTGAGTGTTGGGAGCTGCCCCCACCTTCCCAGCCTCCCTCACCTTCCTGGATGAGCTGCCCATGGCTTTGTCCCATGTCCCTCCCTGCCCTGGCTGGGCAGTGCCTGCCCCTGCCCCAGCCGATTCCCTCCCTCACCATGGGGGCCTCAATCTGCCCCCTCCTCCTCCGACTTACTGGCCTGATGCTGCTCTCCAAGCTGCTGTGTTGCATTCCTGGCAACATCTGTGTTATGACTGTGCGCGTGCACGGGCATTTATCAGTGACATTATTGGCTACATCGGCCCAAAAAAAGCCAATTGCTGATAATGTCAATTTTCCTTATTTCAGTGCGGACACGATATTTACTGATGTATCAGGGCACCTCTAATAAAAAGTTTTATACTTGTTCTATAGGAGGATGAGAAGGCTGCTGCAGAAATTTATGAAGAATTCCTTGCTGCCTTTGAAGGAAGTGATGGTAATAAAGTAAAAACATTTGTGAGAGGAGGAGTTGTTAATGCATCCAAAGGTAAGAGTGGTAAGTCTGAATTTTCTGCATTGGATTTTGGCAACACTTACCCCAGCAAACTGTAGGTAAATATAAAAGGAAAAGCTGAGGTTTGGATTTTATTTTAAAGTAAATATCGTATCTCTTTGTTAGTAAGCAGCACCCTGTACTCTCTAGACTTGGATCTCACTTGGAGTTGAGGCAGGGTGGTGGTAATGAGGTGGAGAGTTGCAGGGAGGGTTGGGAAAAGGCTTCTAACTGGATTTGAATGGCAGTTGGGAGACATGGTAGGGATTGGTGGGAGAGTTTGCTTGTGTAGGGTTTTGGGCAGGTAAGTGTGGTGGTGGGAAGGTTTGGAGTTCTTTGGTTTTGGAGAAGGGGTTGTTTGGGGAATCGTGTCTACGGTAGTTGGCTTTTAACCGCTTTGGGCTTTTTGGATAGGGCAGGATATAAATCTAGTAAATAAATATGTTTTTTGGAGATGTTTGCATAGCTCTTTAGCAAATTAATGAAATCATTTGTTTTTCTATTAAAATAGAAGAATTATTTTTGTTTCCCAACTGCACATATTTAAAGTTTTTCTTAACTATTGCACTTACCTTGCAGAGAGCATGATTCCATTATAGCATCTCATCTTGACTTTTTTTTCTTTTTGAATAAATGTATTTTTAGGCTGTGGGTTGTGGGGATGAAGATAGGAAACAAATAACTAGTTGTCATTGATTTATTAAACTTTAAACTTAATAAAGTATTTTAAAATTGATTTTGTTTTTTAATTTCAGAGGACCATGAAACAGATGAAAAACGAGGTAAAATCTACAAACCTTCATCGCGATTTTCAGATCAAAAAAATCAACAAAGTCAACCATCTAATGAGAAACCTCCATCCCTTCTAATGATAGAAACCAAAAAGCCTGTAAGTTTTCTATTTAAAATATTTTCTTTTTAATACCTCTCCAGATCAGTTTTGTGTATGTATATGCATATGTATAGGCGTGTATAAACTCATCCTGCAGAGTAATTTTATCATTATTTTTACTATCTATTTTTAATTATTGTTGGTGATTTGCCTAAAACTGAATAGGAAGTCAGTGTAGATATCACAACACATAGTCAAGCTAATATCCCAGAGATCTTTAAAATGATACTTTGATTTGATTTTTTGCAAAGGAAATATTGTATGCATTTTATAGTATTTGTTTTGATCAAAGCAACTTTATCATGAATTAATTTTATGGTTTTAACAGGAAAACAGCTCTGACTGTTACCTGTTAGCATCACAGTATGTGAATATTTCAAATAGTTTTCATCATAACCACCTGTTTTTAGATCAAAACTGTAAGAAACTTTCAGTTTTAGGTTGATTTAAGCTTCTCATTTTTTTTTTCTTTCAATGTTTATTTGTTTTTGTTCGAACAAAGTCTTCAGTCTTTCGAGTTATGATCAATAAACTGAAGAACTTGATAAACAAGAAGTCCTGCTTTTATTTTCTTCATCTTTGATCTGTTCTGTTAGTTAATATGTGCATTGTTTGGTTTGATTTCTGTGTTGCTTTAAAGAAAAATCCCTGAAAATTCAACCTTGCTAGGAATGTTAGTTCTTAATTGAGCACTTGAGTTAGGAAGAGTGAAAAAAGCATATATTCATTATCATAGTCTTTAATTACATGTTCACACTTAAATATAGCTCTAAATGTGTGCCAAGCATCTATAATTCTGTGCTCCAGTGTGGAGAAATACATGTGATGAAAATTATGAACTTCTAATTTTACATGCTATGTCATAGTAGTATAATACTGAATAATAACTATGTAGGTTTTCACAGTGGGTAAAGAGAAACTATTACAAATAGACCTACTAATAGTGCATCAGCAGTACATCTTGTCCCCCCAGCCCTTTGCTGTCATGTTGCTGTAGGAATTTTTTTCTAGAGCTGTAATATGATAAACATTTGTTACATTGGTTTATATGAAAAAAAATAATTTAAATTATGTGATGTGCAAATAATGTGACAGGAGATGACATGGTTCACCCTAGAGTCAGGTAAAATGCATATGCTGTGAAACAAATAAAGCTTGACATATTAGAATACCTTTTATTATTAATTTGAGCATTTTTCTGAAAATTTGACCTATAAATTAATTTCCTCAGAGCTCTCTCTCCATGGTAAGTAAAAGCCAAGAAAAGAAATTCTGCTCAAATGTATTGCTTGTGTTTAAATAAAAATATGTATTATTTAACATGAGGGGTTAAGTCGCCAAGGATGCAGGAAACATTTGTGAAGATGTTTAAATAAACATCTTGTAATGCATTTTGTCTTGTATAATGTTCATAAGTTGTGGATGAAATGTGGAAACTTGAGGATACAATAAAGGCTATACTGTAACATAGGAACCCAGCTGGCAGGGTTAAAGTTCATATTCAATCTTAACTTTTGTATTTTTCTTAATTTTGTGTCGCCTATCACTTAATCTTAATGCTTGCACAGTTTAATTTTCATTTAATCACTTGGAAATCTGTGGATCAAAGATAAATGTTGCTTGGAAGCAATCTAAAATATAGGTTGCTAACTCTGTTTTAATAAATTTTCATTGGGTGTCGTTCTGAAATACTAGTTGGTATATCTTTTTGTTTTAGCCTTTGAAAAAAGGGGAGAAAGAAAAGAAAAAGAGCAATTTGGAACTTTTCAAAGAAGAACTAAAACAGTAAGTTTTTCTGTGCATGGAATATCATAATCAAGCAAAATTTGTGTAAGCATTTATGTAGCTTCCTTTTACTTTTTAACATTAAATTTTTAATGATCTATATCAGACCCTTCTGTCATGGTGCAGCTCCATTGTTTGTGGCTAAGCACAAAAAGGATAAATTTAATTTGTGCAGATCCTGTGTACAGATCTATGTGCTGTAGTTAGAGGTGCACCGATACATCAGTTTGATATTGGATCAGCACTGATGTAAAGCGAATTGATTGTACTGGAAATCAGCCTGATGTGGCCAATAGTTTGGCTGATGAATTCCCATGCATACATGCAGCTGCAGTGCAGCACGTAGGCAGCGAGGAGCACAGGCCAGCAGCTTGGAGAGCTGTGTGCAGCTGGTAAATCTGTTGTGGTGGAAGGGTCATGGAGGGTGGGAGATGTACGCCCCCTGCAGTGAGGGAGGGAGTGGGGCTGGCGGTGCCAACCAGGGCGGGGTGGGGCACGGGACAGAGCAATGGGGTGTGGGGAGGCCGGCTTCTGCCTCTGCGCTCACCCCGGAAGGCATGGAGGTGGGCATATGCCTCCATATCTGCATGGGGGGTGGGGCAGGCTGCAGCTGTGGGCTGGGGCCAGGGCTGCACTAAGCTCTTCCCTGCATGTGTGGGGGAGGGGAAGGGAGAGAAGTTGGGCCAGGGATGCACTCAAGGTGGGTGGCGGCAGCACTGGGAGGGAGCTACAGCAAAATTTGGGGTGGCTGGAGCCCTTCTGTTGTTCCCCTCCCAGCGCTGCTGCCACCTGCCCCGGCCCAGCCCCCACCGGGAAGAGCCCTGCGCCGTCCTGGCCCCAGCCCATAGCTGTAGCTTTCCCTGCCCCATCCTGTGCAGATCTGGGGATCACGTGTGTTTTTCCTCTCCCCATGCCCTTCTGGGCTGTGTGCAGTGGTGGGAGCTGTGTCGTCGTGTCCCCCCCACTTGCAGCCCCTGGACGAGCTGCGGCTCCGTATTTCCCCGCCCTGCCCCAGCTTGGTAGTGCCTGCCCCAGTCCCAGCCTTACTCCTCCTTAACCTCAGGGTCCTTGATATGCCCCCCCTACCTTGCCCCCCCCAATGCCCCTTCCCTCCCCACTTGTCTTCTACTACAACAGACTTACCAGCTGCACGCAGCTGTATCAGAAATCAGATCGGTATCGGTCAGTACGTCTCCTTAAAAATCGGTGATCTGTATCAGCCCCCAACATCTCTATCGGTGCACTCCTAGCTGTAGTATTTAAAAAGCTACTGGCCACCTAAATCCAAGTCTTTGGTGTTTCTTCCACCACTTAGGGGACCAACATCAATGGTAAATTCTTGCCAAAATATATCCTACTGTAGAATGTTATCTATTGAAAACTTCTGCTAAAACGTTTAGTCAAAAATTACATTGACATTTTAAATCTTTCCTTTTTGGTTGCTTAATGTGTGTTGAAATTGGTGAGCTTCTTTGTGTTGGTAAACTGTTTGTCAGTTTTGAAAAGTTGCGTCGTCTTCCTTGTTGGAAAGATTCTTGGAACCTAAGGGTTTAGGAATGTAATTCTTTTTCAAATGAGATGTTTTGCAGAAATGATTAGAAATACAACATAGTATTTATTTTCACTGACCATAGTAAATGGGCAATATTAATAAGTGCTTTTGCAAGCCATCCAGAAGTGATTGCTTTGGGGCCAGTGAACTGCCCTTGCAGTTAAGGAGTGTACAGGAAATCAAGGTTTTTGATTCATCCAATCAATCACCAATCTCTTCTCACTTTCTAGCCTGAAAAATTGAAATCTGAGCTTCCCTTTTGCCTGCTGATTTGTAGTGCAGCTTTCAAAAGAAGGAATTTAGGTTTTTTGTTCCAGCCCTTACTTGTAAGCCAGTCACCGAGAGGCTACAGTTCAGAGGACTTGCTTGTTAGATATGTGTTCACTCACTACTACATGTGGAAAGTAGTAAAATTATTAGACAGTGAAATGGAAGAGGAAGCTGAAAGTGAAACTGCTGCTTCATCCTAACCCAAAAGAGTAATCAAGGATTTTGGTATAGACCTAATTTGACTGATCTACACCATAATCATGCATAAGACTTTTCTTATGTTGCATCCAGTGCAGCTGTAGATAGATAGAATTAATTAACGATTTAAAATATTTTTTGTTTAGAACAGGGGTCAGTGACCCCTGGCACTTGTGCCGAACCTGGCACAGAAGGCCATTTTGCTTGGCACACCACTGCCAGCCCGGGCTCTAAGCAGCTCCTCCCAGGCACGGAGCCCAGGGTGCTCCCAGCAGGCAGCTGGGAGGCTGCAAGCCCTGGTGCAAGCAGACTGGGCCCTATGTGCCAGCTGCAGCCAGGAGGCTGCAAACAGCTGCTCCAGGCTCCAACATGTCGGCACTTGGGCACTTTCCAAGGTAGACGTTGTAGTTTTCTCGGCACTCCGGCCAAAAAACATTGCCTACCCTTGATTCATAGATTGATAGATGTTAGGGTTGGAAGGGACCTCAATAGATCATCAGGTCCGACCCCCTGCATGGGCGGGAA